TTCCACCTTAAATGGTGCAGCAGTTGCATTCTGGTGCCTCAGGCATTTAAGGTGGAACAGAAAAATCTGAACAAGATCCCGGCGAATAAGAAGCTCACAAAAATTTGAACGTTGAAAGACATTTTACAAGAATCTGTTCTACTTTTGAGGAAAAGTTTCCTACTGGAGATGCAAGAAAAGCGGCTATAGCTGTTCTAAAGTTTAAGGCAGAGCAAAGTAAGTCTGTTTTCATTTATATTTTTAGTCTATACTAGAACATCAGCCCATACTGAGATATATTTACAGCCAAGATGGAAAAACGTTACTTCAATAACATCAACATAAAATGTTGAGGCTCCCAAGGTGGTTTGATTTTTGGTGAAAGGACAAAATGGCTCTTCTTAACATTCGAGTTGCCGACTCCTGGCCTAGACTTACTAATCAGTTATTGATCTTATAAGGCCTGTCAAGGAAAACTTTCCTGAAACAAGAGTTTGATCTTGTATTTAAACACTGCTAGTTTTAAAATGTAACATTCACTGTCCCGTCCCTACAGTCCATATATGGAGGCTGCAGCCCTATTTGAAGTTTCTGTGATGTCACCAACACATTCACATACATGCACTTATTCATCATACAGCAATATAGCTCCACCCATTTGTGCTGAAGTTATAAGGAGTGTTGCAGTCTGGACTGCATTCTGAATGATGCACAATACAGGGCAACCAGTCAGAACAGAGCTCATTTAAATAAATCAGTTTTACAGGCACAGTAACACACAGCCTGTTTAATTCTAGGGATAAAGAGCGGATGGAAAGTAGTCATGTAAAAATGAATTATTGTTTTTGGTACATAAATCCACACAAATGATCTAAGTGGGTCTCGGGGTGGTGAGGGGGGTAATAAAACGAAAATATGGGTAACATGCTTGTACAAGTATGGGTCCTTTCAGGCTTTGTGTACAATAACTACTGTAAATCACTCAAAATCCAGTATACATGGTTCAGTAACTACAATTAATGTTTCTGTAACTACAATTATTATTCAGTAACTGATCATGAGTTAATGTGTAAGTTCTGTTGCTATGAGAGTGACGAACTGAAGTGTGAACCCACACAGACCGTTATGCCATGTTTACGTTATGATGGGATGGTCAATGGCAAACTGTGTATTCCATAGTTTTCAATTAAGTGATGGAAATTCTGCCACCATCAGCAGCAACAGCAGAATGTTTCATCAAAAGTTAGATTTTCCCAACTTTTGGTGAAATAAACTAGATGTTTTTTGGAAAGAGAGATGCCAAACCTCTCCTTGTTGAAGTCCAGGAGCACCCAATATTACACAACAAAAAACTTGCATGTAGAGAGCATCATTCTGACTTTTTAGACAAATAAAAAACAGTCACCACTGCTAAACTCTCCTCTGATGGTCATCCATTTTTGCCTGTAACACTGGGACCATGGCAACATTTTCATGGCTGCATGCCAGTGAAAGTCAGCAACAAGTCATTTTTTTTCAATAGCAACATGTAAACGCAGCATTAGAGTTTATGGGTTAGGTATTGCGCCAGAAAGCTACTCCAGAGGGATCAGGGGCCGTTTTCCAAAGTACATACTTAACCCCTTTACAGAGTTTCCTTTCCTTGGTGTGTCCTCATCCTAAGGCTTATCATCCAGTAATATCACGGAAACCAATGAAAACTGTTACTATTAAAGGGGAATTCCACTATTTTTTCTAAATGTCTGCATAACTCAGTGGTTGAAATGTAAACAATGTCATTCAGAGGGTTTTGATGCAAAATGGTTCATTTGTAGAGAAACTTACTGACTATTTATTTACAGTGGTAGTGATAGGAACCAGAGGTCCTGATGTATACTGCACAGCTATAGACATTTATTTTATATCCCAAAACCACCAGCTTACACACATCTTCTGAGGTCTTTATATGTAATGTTGATGCTGGAAAAAGGGGAAAAAAAGTTTTCTTTGGGGCTATTTTGTCTCAGAACAACCTTAATGTATCCCTCCACCATCAACAGATTAGAATAAATTGATTAAAATGTTTTAGGCTGAAACTTCACAAAACTGCTGTAAAACAGGGTCTTAGACATCAGGCTGGTTCCTATCACTACCGCTGTGTCTCTGGATTTAAGCATTTTGCATCAAACTACTCTGAATGACTTTGTTTACATCTTAACTATTTAATTAGCAGCATTATTTGAAAAATTGGTGGAGTTCCCCTTTGAGCTATAGGAGTGAGAAATGGAAGTCCACAAATGTTGAAAAGGTAACTTGAAGGTCAAGTGTTCCCCCGTGTAACCCTTGCCTACTGGTTACTTCTTTACACACACACACACACTTCTTATATACATCAGCCTATATGGAGATTATGGAGTTGCAGAGAAATGATAAACCATCCCGAATGATCAGTTTATGAGGTTAAAGCGGGTGTGCTGGAGCAGGAAGTCTCTATAATGTGGAGCACAATTGGGACATGTTGCCCTAGAGCCATACACATGCCTCCTACTAAGCTTTTCATGTTCTGAAGCCTGGCTTTGGTCCTGGAGGAATTCAGTCCAGCACAGTTTGGTGATTTCGTCTCTCAAATACACCAGACTCAACTCAGACATATTTTACTGGGCTTACTGGGCGTGTTTGGAAAGGAAAATCACAAAACTAGGCTGCACTTACATGAGGTCTTAGTTTTCTCAGAGAAGGAACTTGTTCATGCAACTAGGCTATGTTTATGTGGTTCGTGTCACATTCAGGTTGTGAAATGGTTGTGGTCGTTTATTAGCTTGTAATCACCTGGCATCTGTTGTTTTGGCCTCTTTTATGAGCGCTACTGAACACAAATGATCAGAAATAAGTGGTTTTAATTGTAAATTTTTAAGTGATTATCATTAATTAACTGTTTGTACAGCTTTATTACAAGCGATTATTCCCTGTTGTACTGTTTGCTTCTTTTCTCAGCCATAACGAAAACCGTGTCAACATCACTGCTCGGCCAGTTTGCACTGCATCAAAAACTTTGTGTCCTTCTTCATCTGAGTTTGAAGGGTGTTCATGCGGGAAACTTGCTTTTCCAGTAAAACCAAAATCACTAAAACCAGCACAGGAGAGGAACTGGGCTAACTTTGGGCAAGAACTTAGTGTGCTTTAGCTTTACCTTGAAGGAGAATTTCACTGCTTTTTTTTAAAATTTCTATGAAATTCAATCATTTAGATGTAAATAAAGTCATTCAGTTTCAGTGTGAAATGCAGAAAGATCTACTGACAGATATCAGGCGGAGATATAAACCAGAGGTCAAGATGTCTACAACACAAATGCAGCCATTTGCTACTCAGAATCACTAGTGAACCTACACTTGCGTTTGTTTTAATGAAGGTAAAATAGTCGTAAATCAGAAAAAATGGATTTTGCCTTACAACACCCTGCAAGTACCTCTCCACCATAAATGGATTAAAAAAATCTTCAGACGTCTGGTTCCTATCACCACCACACTAAACAACTCTGACTCTGTAAGTTTCTCTAGAATGAAGCATTTCACAGCAAACAAGTCTATTTACATCTTAGGAAGTGAATTATGGTGAAATACTAAAAAAATCAAGGACAAGGTGCTTGTTAATTAGTTCGTGAGTAGAACCACGTATGCTAGATGGGAGAAAAAAAAAAAATGTCCAGAGCAAGGGGTTCCCAGGCGGCAGTTGGGGACTTCCGTCAAAGACCTTTTCATCCTAGTATTTCAGCATACACTGAATAACACATACAAATCTGAAAACACTGCGAAGACTGACTTCACTTCTCCTCAAACCCATAAACTGTTCACTCAGGGTCGTTTATAGTTCAGAAGTCTTCATAAACTCTGAATTACAGCCTTGTTTGAGCAAAGGCCTGTACATCCAAGTCCTGTTAGGAGCTCTCGCCCTCTGGTGGTCACTTTATGTCAGAGATTGAAAATCCTACAGGCTGCAGTAACTGGGTTAGTCTCAAATATTAATCTGCGCTCTTGACAACATTTCACACCATGTAATTTTTTCATGATGGGTAGCCTAAATGTAGTTTAATTTAGGGCACGTTAAAAAAAATGGTTTATTTTGGGAGCAAAAGTCTGCAGGTCCTATTTTGGTCCTATGAGACAATTTTTTTTTTTATTTCAATTTAAGCAATTACAATAAGTAAAACAAAATTGTTACTTATTATTATTATTTATTATTATTATCATTATTATTGTTGTTTGGTTTATTCAGGGATGTGTTTTTTTGTACCAGTTAATGAAAGAGTATGAAGCACAGTTTTTAGGCCTCTTGTGAAGCTACTGTCCATGCTGTGTCCTGTCCAGGTCACAGAGCTACAGTCGTGATGGAGTTAGACCCCTAGGCGTCCCTCCTACCACAACTCCTCCCGGTGGGGTCGGTGCTCTGTTTGTTTTCTGCTGTGTAAATTAGTACTAATTCATTTGCTCAGTAATGACGTGGGAGAAGCTAATTAGGGCTGTTTGTTAATTAGGCTCTAGTGGGTTATGCTAATGAGACCCTGATTCTCCCTTTACACCTCTCTCTGTCTATCCCTCTCCCTATCTCCCTCTTTTCTCTTACTCCTTTCCTCTTCTCTGTCTCTTCCCCTTTTCTCTTACACTTTCATGCAAGTGGATGTCCATATCAGCTAATGTGTCACATTTATTTAATTATTATCTGTTTATTTTAAAATGCCCTACATTTAAGAGAAACGTTTTCCCTCACAACGTTCAGCTTCAATTTGGCCACTGCCGCTTCACGTTACACACCTCCATGCATGTCAGCCCCACATCCAGCACCTCCATGCTGGAACATGTAGAAGCTCTACATTCATGAATTCATAATGTCCACAAAGCTGCCGAACACTCAAAGCAACACATAAGTCACCAACAATATTGCAGACATGAATTATTATTGTTATTATTACTATTTCATGAGTGTTCTCTGACATGCACAGACCTGGCAGATTCATAAACAAGGCACATAAATGAAATATATGACCAAACTGCACTAATTTCCATTTTAATGCAATATTCCATTAGCCTATATCCTGAATCAAAACACTGGCTCATATATTAATCATGGTTTGAATAAAGACAGAGATGAAGACTTTATTCTAAACTACAAATCTCAATATTTATTCCCCTTTGTTATTCCATCCGATTCCATTTCTCGCTTCGTCTGGTGCCGTTTGATGTCATAATGTTCATTTCTTCGCTTCCTCTTTTCCTTTTTCTTTTATGACTGTAAAAAAGAAAAATGAGATTTGAGAGCAAATTAAGGAAAAAGAGAATAAAAAAGAAGGGGCAAGAAGAAAAGAGAGGCGAATCTAAAGTTTCTGAAATGAGGGTGGCCTTCTGAATCAAAACCGCTCACTTCTGGTATCTTTGGATGAGGGATGACGGGGTTAGAGCTGCACAATACATTGTTTGTCAACTATTGTGATATTGGGCTTCTCAAAATTGCTAATATTAAAGCTTTGGTTTTGTGACTGAGGCCTCCATCCAGCCCATAGTTCCAGATGGATTTCTGTGGGTGTTTGAATGAATTAAATCCAATTTTTTAACAGAATAATACAGGTCAATGTTTCACCTTGTGTGACAAAGCCCACGTGCTGATTACTGATAATGAGGTATATTGCAATAGACAAAATAAATGATAGTGTTGCAAAATGTGCACAAGAGCAATGTCACTGTATTTTAGTCAAACACCAGAGATTTTTTTAGAGATGCTGAGCAGCCCTGGTTTCAGAACAGCCCACTACACTGTTACATTATGGTTATTATGCTGCACACAGGATCTAGCACACCCATGTTTTTTCAAAAACAGAATCCACAAAATACCAAACCACAAACACATTATTGCAACTACAAAATTACAAAATTCTGAACATGACATTTCAAACAATATCATGATAATACTACAAACTGTAATAAAAGGTTAGTTAATTATTGTGATGCTAAATGTTTACATATTCCCGTCTACCACATCAGTGGTCTCTGTATCAGTGGGTTCAGGCCTGTACTTTCTGTTCATTTTGATGTCAAGAAACACCATTCACATGGCTTATAATAAAATCTCATTTTCTACTTGCAAACAAATTTGCAATGAATTAAACCTTCAGAATTTGCATTTCTCTGCTCGTTTGAATGAGCTATGAGAAATAATTAACAAAGTTAAAAAATGCTTTTTTCAATTTTGATTTTTGGTGATGAATGCAACTTCTAAGGGTTAAAGAGTAACTCCACCCCAAGACCTTTTTCTTCCATTAACAGCTGAAATGCTCTGCTCTGTAGTAATAAAATAAACCAGACTTGCTTAAAATGTGAGCACATATTTTCAAACTGTAAAAAGTTCATTTTTATCGTGGCCAGTTCCGCCTCTGCAGCGCCCCTCTGGTTCAACTCTGTTATAGGCGCGGATGACAAGTCTTCGTACCGAAGTACCATGACAGATCACAGTATGCAAATCAGTCAAACAAGGTTACCGCCCCCTGATGACACCCTACTCGTGCTGCGCTCATAAATATGAAAACACAGGAGCTGAGAGCGAGGAGATAATCAAACTCACGCACTGAGCTAAAAACCCTCACCTCACAAGGCTGCGATATGGCAGATGTCTGTACCAACTGTAAATAACGCATCATAAACATCTTCATTACAAACTAAGCTTAGATTGACTAAGTGAGAATTCTTGTGAGTCTCCATAAAGCTGCCGGTGTTGCATCCGATTCACGTTTCCCTTCAAAACTCACCCTCAGGCGCCGCACTCACTGAACAGAAATCAACGGCAAGCAATGCTGGAACTACAGAAAGCAAAATGGCTCAGGAAAAGTTAACATTAAATGGCCATTGTTAGTGACTCTGTCAACCTCTCATCCGTACAACCTCTCTCAAACTTTTTTCCCGCTTTTTCCGATTTCCAGTGCTGAGTTTGCGCCCAAGAGTTTGATTTTGAACATGAATTTGAGAGGGAACTGAATCAGATGTAACACTGGTTAGTCCCATGAACAGCTTCCAGAACGCAAGGATTTAGGGCCACTGCAGCAAACCCTGGTTGACCGGTGATGCAGTCTGCGACTTTGATGTCAAACTGAATGAAACTTAGACAGTGTTCAAAGAAATCCACTTTGTTCATTCGGAATTTAGTGCATCTAAGATATCAGGACTTGGGTTATATTGAATACGGACCTGCTGAACAGATACATAGAAGCTGTCGCGGTTTTAGGGAATGTTCTACCATTCGGACACCTCTCCCACTCGCTGTTAATCATTTTCTGGTGCTACGTTAAATCTTCAGCAGCTTGAGTCAGCAGCTCATACTGTTAATGCTCAAGACACACTGTCTGATCAGAAACACCTTCCCTCGTCGAAGATGGAGACGGTTGTGGAGAAAAAGCAGCAACCTTGTAAGACTCTCACTTGCAAAAGTGGTGTTTGATTCTGTGACTCACCATATTTTCTGGTCACTAACGTACGCTAGCTTCCCTCGCAGCCCCACCTAAACCTAAACATCACTGCAGAACCCCTCCCAACATGCCCCTCCCATTTTTGAGCATTTTTCAAAGTTGAGCCTGGGGTGGAGTTACTCCTTAATATACTTCTAGGCAAACTGCAATCTCAGTATGTAACAGTGTAATCATAATATATGTATATTTTTTGGAGCCCTGGATGGGATGTGTGTGTTTTTAGGTTGATCACCTCGGACCTCCAGCCTGCACTCCACCTGGTCCTCTCCTAGTTCGTTTATGGCCTTGCAGATGTACATCCCCCCGTCAAAGAGGCTGGGCTTACGGATGTTCAGAGTCAGCACTCCCTGGTTGTTCTGCATGAGGAACTTGGGATCTGCTCCAATTATCATCTTATTCTTCATCCAAATGATCTTGGGCTGGCCGAGAGAAGATAGATAAAGAGGATAAGCAAAAGTGGATTTAAGGGTTTTTCCTTAATTGACCATTAGCTGCAGTATGGTGCCCTAAGGTTAGATGAATCTATCTACATGCCTAGACACACACACACACACACTTACCCTGGGATAGCCACGGACAGCACAGCTGATAGCAGTGTTGTAGCCTGCAACGACAGACCTGTCCACAAGGGGTGTTATAAACTTGGGAGAGCTGTTCATGTCTCTCTCTTTGAATGGCTGTGGCTTATGTTGAAGACCTAGAGGGAAAATGTAGAGAGTAAAATTTCAGACAAAAACAATCAGTAAAATTACTTAAGTAACGTTTATTACAAAAAAGTGATTCAAGACTATAATGGTAGACGGTAACACTTCACATATGCCACATGCCACACCTGCCGTGACATGTTCATGGTTTGTTTATGGTTGTGTTATTTAGCAGGGTACAAGTGAAGTGTTCCTGACTACTTACAATATAAACAAGGTGTGTGTCTTTGTGCACCAAATAAACCTAAACGTTCACCAACAACAGTCCTATTCGGATGGGATTTATTTTTCATGGGGAGGTGGGGAGATGTGGTGTAACACCAGTTTACCACAGGAAGTCTGTAATATTTATGATCAATTCGCTTTGGATAAGAAATCTCAGCATAAATGACAGAGACGGCAGGGGCTACACAATTTACGCACCACCTTTACTCCAGAAATAACTATAAAACATGTTAAAACATTTATATTAGTCATTATTTCGTTTACCCTAAATATCCATCTTGCTGTCTTTTACCATTTACCAGTTACCATTAGCTTGGGAATTCACAGCCAACAGTCAACTTCATCACAAAAAATCACACTTTATTTTTAAATGTTCTGAGTTGTACACTTGAGGCAGGACAGTAATGTAACATATCAGCTTGATCTGAGCCAGAGAAAACACAAGTCGACTGCCTCAATACTTAAGGAACTACTTAAGGTAAAAATGATTGACATGGTAGGTTTGGACAGGGCTAAAATCACTGAGAAACGCACAAAAAATACAATTATCCCACCTCCTCATGTAAAACTAATCCTATCTGAATAACGCTAATGATACAAGTCAGAGATGGTATGGAAAAAAGGAAAATGTACTGTTCTTTTCCCAAAATATTATGATTAAAATGTTTTGGGGAAAAAGGCCCACATTTTGGACAACATTTCTGAGAATGATTATTCATAAAATCTCTCTTGCATGGCTGAACAGCAGCGCTTTTAGCAAACTTCACTTTGTAACAGCACTGTGAGATTATTAGTTACAGGTGCTGTAAAACAGTGAAGTCTGAGGACAGCATCACATGTATTTGTTTAAATATCACATTTGTCCAAAGAAGTTTTTATAAGTTATTAAATTTGTTAATAAATCACAATTTGTGCATTATTTTTTCCCTTTTACAATCAATGCAGCTGCATAGGAAACAATTATAAATGTTTGCAGAGAAAACTAATGAATTATTACACCAGTAACACACACACACACACACACACACACACACACACACACACACACACACACACACACACACACACACACTACAATCCTGTTCCTGCAGCACTCCTGCCCTGCATATTTCTGGTGTATTTTGGCACAGCTGGTGTTTGTATGCTCTAAAACAGTTGACTGATCTAATCATCTAATCAACAAGCCGTTCTGAAGTTAGTGCATGAGGAGTGCATGTGTAACAACAAGTAAAACAAAAACAGTATAATGTGCAGGGCAGAGATACACCAGGACCATAGTGGGAACCATATTAAGCCCACATGCATCTATGTAACCTGTTTTGCCGATGACGGCCGTGTTCTTGCTGACTCCTGCTTCCTCACTCAAGCCACAGATATTTTCGCTGAAAATGCGGAACATGTATTCATTCCCCATCACCAGGTCAGAAACAGTGCAGCTGGGCCTGCGGTTGTGTTCATATACAGTGAACCACTCCTGCACAAAACCACACACAGAGTTCACTACACAGATCATAACTCATGCAGGGCAGAAACAGTAACAATCAGAGGTGTATATAGGACATAATATTTATTACTTGCAAGCACTAGGCTTCTACATGTCGTCGCTGTCGGGAAAAACTTTGTATTTCTATTTCTATTTTTGTTTTTCATACAAAAAATCATAATTTGAAAACAAGAGCTACCCTTTACATAGTGTTAAAAGTCTTAATGAATGGACCAATAAAAATGCTCCAAAATTACTTATAAAAAATCTTGTTCCATTAACTGTTCTGAAGTTACGAAGGTTTTTTCCTTCTTTTGTAAAGTAACTTTTTTTGGAGTTTTCCTCCTGACAGCGATGATACATAAACTACATACAGAACATGTTAGTATTATACATAGGTACTTATATAAGTATACGTATATAAGTATGTATACGTATATAAGTACCTATACGTATATATATATATATGCATGCACACACACACACACACACAAAATATGGGAGATATTATTGCATATAGGCACATACATATGTATAGCACACAGGGACACAATGTACAGGTACATAATGTAATGTATAGGTAATTATTTATAAATAACACATGACATATCTATGACCCTACATGCTGATAAACTATAAAACCAGTTGTGTCTGTGTGTTTTCTGTCCTGACCTTAGTCTTCTTGTCAGCCTTCTGGACAGTGTATCCAGTGATTTCAGTGTTGCCATTGTCTCTGGGGGGTTTCCATTCCAGGGCAGCATTAAAACCCCAGACATCAGTCACTGTGACAGCTACAGGGGGGCCTGGCTTCTCTGTGTCCATAAGGAGGTGTGTGTGTGTGTGTGTGTGTGTGTGTGTGTGTGTGTGTGTGTGTGTGTGTGTGTGAGAGTGAGTGTGATTTGGGAAAGTGAAAGAGGGAAAAAAAAAAGAGACATCACTACACAGCTAAACATAGACGCAGTGTCCTCATTTTAACCAAGACACAGGTTGCAGTGAGTTAATCGAAAGAGAAGGAGATGCAAAGACTGGGAAGAGAGCATGAGAAGGATGAAAGGAAGGGATAAACACGTTTAGGGGAAGAGAGAGACAGAGAAGTAGAAAGCGGTGTGGGGGGAGTGGGGGGACGGGGTGCACAATGCACAAAGGAGAAAAAAAGAAGACAGTAAAATAGAGAGACGCAAAGATGGAAACAGAGGCAGGTGTATGATTATATACACACATTTCTATCTATCATCACTGCTGAAAACTCTGTATCTCCAAAATTTGTGAAGGAAAAAATATTAACGTGTAATGGAAGTTAATGTTTTCAAATTATGCAAAAAGATAGAAGTCAACAAATTTAGACACTTTTATATATACAGTGCCTTGCAAAAGTATTCAAACCCCTTGAAGTTGTACTCTGTAGCTCTTTAAAAGTGACTGTGAGCCTCTCTGTGGCTTCCCTCACGACTCTCCTTCTAGTTCTGACGTTGAGTTTTAAGGGACAGCCTTGTCTAGGCAGAGCCTGGGCGGTACAACAGCGCTTCCATTTCCTCACAACTGATTCAACAGTGCTCACTGGGATATATAAACACTTGGATGTCATTTAGTAGCCTTTTCTTATTTTGTGCATGTCTATAACTTTATCTCTGATTTCCTTAAAACACTCTTTGGTCTTCATTCATTCATAAACTGGAGGACAGTCCACCAACCAAAAATATCAACCAAAATGTGGACCAACAAAAATCTGTGTTTAAGTGAGTGGACAGTGAGTGGATTAAAAACTTCAGCAGTACTGCTGTGTCTGACACACTCGTACCAGCGCAACACAGACTAACACACCACCACCAAGTCAGTGTCACTACAGTGCTGAGAATGACCCACCACCAAGATAATACCTGGTCTGTGGGTGTCCTGACTATTGAAGAACAGGGTAACAAAGTATGCAGAGAAACAGATGGACTACAGTCTGTAACTGAACTACAAAGTGCTCCTTTTATGGTCAGTGGAGCTGATAAAATGGATAAAGATGTAGATACAAGAAGGTGTACTCAATGAAGCAGCTGGTCAGGGTATATACACACATACACAGACACGCATATACCTACAGAAGGCAAAGGGGGCTGATATGTGAGTGTGCGTGTATTTGGCATTAATCCTAGATGTGCTGCAGGATGCTGGCAGCTCAGTGTGACTAAGTGGCTGTCTGGCTCATCAGAGCGGTTTCAGCGCTCTCATTAGCTCCTCTCCCAGCGGGAAAAGGGAGTAAGGGTCCGTTAATCCTGTCCTAATCCTACCCTACACCCGCAATAATCCCAACCATTCCCTGCGGAATAATCCTCACAGGCACTCCGACCTATCCCACCCACTGCTCTCGCACAAGTGTGACTGTTAGAAGTCAGAAAATTCAGCAGGTGGGAAAACAGACGTTTTAAAAAATGTAAGCGACCATCAAAAAAAAAAAAAATAATAATAATATATCGCCTGCGTTAATAAAACCTGGCCTGACACCAGTCTGTTTAAGTAAATGTTGAAGGAACTTTTGAACTTCACTGTAAAGCCACAACTCGACTGAGTTCAAAGAAAAATCTGTAACCCATATTTTAAGCAGCGGTATGTCAGAGGAGGATCTTTTGAAAAGCTGATTTAGAAACTTGCAAGAGTAGTGAATGAATGACTCTCAGATAGCAAATCCACCTGGTTTGCTATGATCTCTTAATGATTTCTGAACTTAAAAGTCCTACCCACAGCCCAAGACACTTGAGTCTATGCACCTACCAGATACTAATAAGAGAAAATATAATTATTACAGATTATGAAATAAATTATATTGAGTCATACTTATAACCACGTTTGTTTAAAGAACAACACTGCTTAAAAATAATATTTTAAAGAGCGTGATCAATATAATATTTCTCTATCTAAAACTATTTCACTAGATTAAATGACAGGAAATCAGTTAAGTAATCTTTTAATATCTTCATAATGGCAAAATAAGAAATGTTAGATATACACTGACTAGATTTAAGATAACTTCATTTAACAAGATACTGTTTTTGCAGTGCTTTGCTGCGCATGCAGATCTACTGACTTCACACATTCCTGTAGGGTCTTTTAAAATTTTACATTATTGAAGGCAGTGAATGTCTTCATTCCCAACACCACTTACCTACGATTTGGATCTCAATGGTGGCTTTGTCCTCCATGTTCTCTATCTGCACAGACAGTGTGTACTGTCCCGAGTGCTCTCTGGTGGCCTGTCTGATGAAAAGGATGGAGTCCACCTCACTGGTGCGAACGGTGGCCAGTGATGGGTCCATCGGGGCCCCGTCCTTAAACCAGTTCACCACAGGGCGCGGTTTACCCTGAGAGGGAAGAGAAGACACTGAAGGTGAAAACGAGTGGACATACTATATGTCTGAGGCTCCACATGGTGTGCTTTCAGATACTGCTTAACAGTATCTGATGGCACTGGTTACTGTAGTCATGGTTATTGAGGGCTGACCAGCCCACTGCAGGCAGGAGCAGGACAAGGCATGCATGAAGAGAAATCCCACAAATTGATTTATCATATAAAATGGAGCTGTCAGTCTGATGGCCACAGCTGCCCAGCAAAACACCAAAAATAACCATTCTGTGGTTTGATTCTTGCTTTGGTGTTTAACAGGAATAAATAGCGTATGGTGAAGCCTGATGACCATGACTGCTGTGTTATTTCAACAGATAATAAATGTACTTGTGAACAGACCATGTCAAATATTGGATGTCAGTTCATTATGACAAAATTGCACGAGTGGGAGTGGGACAAAATGCTTTGTTGATGGGCGGGAGTGGGACAAACGATTCCGATTTTCTGTGGGAGTTGAATGAAATCTTCTGGGAGTGGGCGGGCAGACCCCCACAGACCTCTAAAAACATAAGACCTGTGACACAGTTAAGCAAAAAGCATTTGTATCATTTCATCCATGTAATGTGAATTTACCCCAACTCTTCTCCTGGAGAACTACTTTCAAAAGGGCTTAAATAGCTGTATCAGGTGAGTCAGATGTGGGACTGTGCAGGCAGGTAGAATTATATGGCATCTCCTTAATTAGCTGGATCAGGTGAGTCAGATGTGGGACTGTGCAGGCAGGTAGATTTATATGGCATCTCCTTAATTAGCTGGATCAGGTGAGTCAGATGTGGGACTGTGCAGGCAGGTAGATTTATATGGCATCTCCTTAATTAGCTGGATCAGGTGAGTCAGATGTGGGACTGTGCAGGCAGGTAGAATTATATGGCATCTCCTTAATTAGCTGGATCAGGTGAGTCAGATGTGGGACTGTGCAGGCAGGTAGAATTATATGGCATCTCCTTAATTAGCTGGATCAGGTGAGTCAGATGTGGGACTGTGCAGGCAGGTAGATTTATATGGGATCTCCTTAATTAGCTGGATCAGGTGAGTCAGATGTGGGACTGTGCAGGCAGGTAGATTTATATGGGATCTCCTTAATTAGCTGGATCAGGTGAGTCAGATGTGGGACTGTGCAGGCAGGTAGATTTATATGGGATCTCCTTAATTAGCTGGATCAGGTGAGTCAGATGTGGGACTGTGCAGGCAGGTAGAATTATATGGCATCTCCTTAATTAGCTGGATCAGGTGAGTCAGATGTGGGACTGTGCAGGCAGGTAGATTTATATGGGATCTCCTTATTAACTGGATCAGGTGAGTCAGATGTGGGACTCCGCAAGGAGGGAGATCTCTATAACAAGGGCCTTTGACAACTATAGGCTCAGGAATGGACAATAAACACAGAACAAAAATCTGAAACTGCATAGAGGTTCAGTACATGAAATGATCAATGTGCTGACCTGGAAGGGAATGAGGAGGTTGACCTTCTCGCCCACCTTCCTGATAAACTTAGTCCTCAGCTGCCGGGGAAGACGAATCTTTGGACGTTCTGGGAAGGAAAATAAGGAAGAACACATAGGGATTATTTTAGATTTTCACACAAGAACATAAATGAATGCATGTACAGGGATTTGTTACACATAGGAGTCCTATGATCAGTTTACAAAGTTATGTTTTGATAAGTGCTATAATCAGAGTTTCAGGCTCACTTGATTGCTAAATTAATTAAATTGCTAAATCAGCTGATTGCTATATCTTTTGTCTTGGATGTTTACCCAATTTTCTTCCCAATTCTGTCATGTCCAATTGCTACCAAGATGGGAGGTGAGGGATAGCATGTACTTCCTCTGAGAGACGTAAAGCTCCACCACATCCTTTAAAACTGCTGCTAACGCAATATCACTGGACAGCTCAACACTAGTGATGTCAGATGAGATCAGTAACGAAATCTGAAATCTTCCCTTGTTTGTTTGTCAAATATTGAAATATATCAAAATTTTACTTTGCTCCCTACGTTATACATCTCAGTCCACATTCAGAGCATTGGAAAGTCTGCTGTCTACGCAGATCGTTCAGTTATCTTACACAGGTACATATTTTACTCATTCTAGTTTTTAAATTAAACATTTTGCCAAATTTAGAATGATCAGATCAGATGTTTGAAAATATCCCTATAGAATGTGATGTCTCAGCAGAGCCTTTAAACATTTTCTGCATTTTAATGTGCATATTTCTTTGAATCTGACAAATATTTGAATGTTGAATTTTATTTTGTAAGCCTCACTCAGCTCGCTTTGAGAGGAACGCTAACTTCCGATTCTATTCTGTCAGCTAACAGATGCCCAGCCCATGTTGGCTAACATCGTGCTGAGTTAGGGAGGGAGAACCATCCTACCCACCCAGGGACAGCAATCTTGGACTGCTAACCACGAATGGCCGTGATATCATCGGGGAACTCACTATGTCCTAACTGAAAATATACTTATATATATATTATTTTTGTATTAAAATATGAGGAACTTGGACAGTTGAGTGTAAGAAAAGAAAAGCAGACCATGTAGTGCTTAAATGTGTCAGCATTTGTTTGTTTTTCAATGATGAACACAATATGCCTGTGGGAGAATGTTCATCCATAGAAGAAATGTTTGTCAGTGCGAATATGGAAGGAAAGAGAGACAGCGAGAGAGAGAGAGAGAGAGAGAGAGAGAGAGAGAGAGAGAGAGAGAGAGAAAGAGAGAGAGAGAGAGAGAGAGAGAGAGAGAGAGAGAGAGAGACTCCCTTACCGGTGATCTCTCTAATGGTAACTCCTTGTTTTATCTCAGCCGGAAGGCTGCGGCCTGCGATATTGACGGCTGTCACCCGGAACACATATTTCTCTCCAATCTGCAGCCCCCGAACACGATACATATTCTTCTCCACTGGGACCTCGTTGGCCTGCACCCACTCACTCCCTAAAACACACACAAACACATGTGCATAAATACATACACATGCATAAACAACCAAACAAATACACTTTTGCATTCACTGAATAAAAATAAAGCATTTTTCCTAAGGGGGCAACATCAGAACCCTCATGTGAAAAACACATCACGCACACAAAAAGCCAAGAGGCTAATGAGCAGAAATGAAGACTGACATTTCACTCCTGTACATATAAATCCTAAGATGGTGGTGACGTCTACTTTCCTATTTATAACCTCCTCAGGCCTGAGGCAAATTACTCAAATGTTATGGTACTGAAGATGCACAGACTGAGGGCAACTGTTTCTATGCAGATTTACTCAAGAATCAGGGCATCACCAGGCTGATGGCCTCTATTGCAAAGTGCTGATAAACGCTGTGTTTTCACATGTAGCTATATTTACCAGGATGTGAAAGGAAAAGGCAGGCCTATCAGGGTGAGAGGTCACATTAAAACAGTCCTAAAGTCCTAAAACAGTCATTGTCATCCATGAGCAATATTTTTAACATGTCTAGGGTGCATGGCTACTTTTTGGCTTAATAGGCTTAGGCTTGATAAATTTCCTATATCAGTGGTCTCAAACTCAATTTACCTACCTCGTCGCCTACAATAGTATTAAAATATCTGAAATATCAGTCAACTTCTGTCTCTGATGCTGATAACTTTCTTAAGCAATTACCTGCTGATACTGATAATAATCCAATATCATTGTGCATCCCCACTCGTTACCAATGCTTTTAATACAACCTCAGCCTCAACGTTTAAACCCCTGCCTCTTAAGTTGAATATTCTAATAAAAAAACTTACTTATTTATCAAATTCATTAGCATTCACACTGACCACATCCTCTGCCACTTAGACATCACGTCCATGACCCACACAAACTCCTGGTTCTCACCTCCTTCAAGGCAGTACTCGATGATGTATCCATCCACCCCACCTGCACCAACCCTGTCTGGGGGGAGCCACTTCAGGGCACACGTGTCATCAGTGATATCATCCACCACCAGCCTGGTTGGCTCACTGGTCGGGGCTGTAAGTGACAGGAGATGGAGGAAAAGAGGAAGAGAAGTGCACTTATTAACTAGGCTTATGGGAGAATAGGGGTTTCTCTGACAATTCGAATGATAATGCTCTAATGACATTGGTCAGATTTGTTAAAGTGTTAAAGCATAAAAAACACAAAAAACGCTGTGGAGCTAAAACACTCTACGTACCAATAGGCATGAAGGGTTTGGAGGTGGCACTGGGCTGGGAGACACCGATGCCATTAACAGCAAACACCCTCATCTCATAGAACACGCCCTCAAGCATCTTCTTTGCCTCATACACGGTCGACTCGTAGATGTCAAAGTTAAGCTTAGTCCATCTCGACGAGCCTTTCTTCTTCCTCTCCATCAGATACCCTAGACACAAGTTCCAAAAGCTTGTACCAAAACCAGATTTTTAACAAATAAAATATATTTTATCACATATGAAGTGTGGAATCACTGTTTTCAATCACATAAAACAAACTCCGCTGCAGACACATGAATACAATTATTTTAACATGTTGGGATTATTTTACAGGTTTCAAATTATTTGCAGGAAGCTGAAACATTAAGAAAATTTTGATGATGAATGGAGATGATTCCATTATAACTGAGAAATCTGTGGAACGGCAAGAATGAACTTACAATAAAATTAACGAGACCTCATTAGCCACATTTACATGCAGCCTAATAATCCGATAATAATCCGACTAATAGCTCAATCAGAATAGAATACGTCCATGTAAACACCTCAATCGGAATAGTCTAGTCCGATTGAGGCCATTCGGAATACAATTTCTATCCGAGTGAACAAGGTAGGTAAACCTCTAAATAATCCATTAAATAGAAGAATAATAACCATGTAAACGCCTGTATCCGATTACATCCCAATCGGAACGTGTAAGTACGTTCTGCGCATGTGCAGTTTATACCGTTCAGCATGGCGGAGCAGAAACTGGTCTGTAGAGGAGACAAAGTTTATGCTCTGATCTGTAAAAGACGGCGGTGGGAGATGGCGTCCAGCTTATGTGTCTCAGAACACGATGTCTTCCTCTCACCGCTTCCTTTATAAGCACATGTGAAGCACGTTTTTCTGAGTCTGACCTCATTTTAAAGCAATTAATAACACAAGCGCGCCAACTGGAAACTCATCTCACGCGGACTGGACCCCACGCGATGTTCGCTGTCATGGTAACGTTTACTCTAAGCACTACTCCACGCATGTGCGTCATTTTGCATCAGATTACTTGTAGTGCGCATGTAAACGAAGAATTTCCATCAAATTGTTGAATAGAGTGTGCATATAAACACCTCAGTCTGAATCTGTAATCGGACTGTATACAATCGGATTGGCAAAAATCTTTGCATGTAAACATAGCCACTGATCCAAAAGCTACTTATCGTAATTTTATGACAAGAAATTACAAATTGATCATTACAATTAATTATTTAATAACTTTTGCTATTTTTCTCTTCATCATAATTTCTTGCTCTTCCCAACATACTTTAAATTCTGAACAAACTTTAGCTGCACGTTTTGGTGCCTGGTTTTTAACCTTCCAATCTAAGGTATGTGCGTTAGTACTGAGAAACATTTACTAACAATACAAGTGATTGTATTGTGATCCAAACTTTTGAATGGTAGTGTATCTACAAATTTGTTCGATTAAAACTGGAATCCGTCTTTCCTCTCTGGGGCTTAAAACATCATCTCTAAGCACTCTGATGATAATTAGATCACCACAGTAGGAAGCTCTGGTGTTTATCTTCTCTTCTAGTGTTTGGTCTGTCAGGTGAAGAAGCTTGCCTTTGAGTGGGGCTCCACCATCAAATTTGGGTGGATCCCACAGGATGGAGGCTGTATCCTCTCCAACTCCGGTGCATCGGACATTCTCTGGGGCATCTGGGACGTCTACATACAACACAACGCAGGAGGGGAGAAGAGAAGACCTGAATGTAAGAACTAAAGGAAATATATACTAAGAAAGTGAGTGAAAGATAGAGAAAGAGAAAAAAGGTAGGGTCAATCAGCCAGGGTTAATGTCTGTAGTTTGCTTCTTTAGTTTTACATTACAGAAACAAAGACAGTGGAAGATAAAAACTGACAAAAGTAAACTGCATTAGCTTTGGGGCTGAAAACTGACATTAATGTATATCACAATAATTTTCTGATATTTCACAAATTATTTTTCCTTCATTCTCTTTATGTGCCACAAGATTTTATCTTATTGCTTCGCCTTCATTTAACCATTCCTTTTGTACAAGCATTCTAATCTATGGGTACTTTAAAAATGTATACAATAGAAAAGACTACACAGAACGTCTCCAGCTGATTAACTACACTTGGAAGTTAATCAACACTTTGACAGATTATAAATGCAGACTCTCAGTCTGGCAAAGAATGCTGGGAAACATGCAAATGAAACAAAAGAAACTGCAATAACAGGAGATCAAAAGAGGGGTAATAACCACTGCACAGCTAAAAATAGTAGCAGCAACCTTCTTCAGCCTTTTTTTGTTCGGACTTCCCTATTTACAGATAACAGTCATATTAGAAATCCCATCTTTAACAATGACCAATCACAGTCCCAGTTTAACCAATAACTATAACTGTGAGGAATCTGCTAAGTGTCATTTCCTCCTTGCCCACCAACACAACTCTAAAACACAAGTGGGGCGCCAACATGCCAGCTTGACATTTTAATTTCCGACAAAACAAACACAGAGAACCCGTGGATGTTAACAGAGTTACATGCCATCTGTGCATATTATAATTAATATATTATCATTTTTTATAATATAGTAACATTAGAACATAGCCCAGATGGTAAAAGTGTGGAAATTGTATTATCATCAGGCAAAATGCAATGTCTGTAATGTACACATGGTACTTTGTAAACGAATGTGTCACATTCATTCACATTATCATCCAAGCTGACACTGTATAGCTAAAAATAGTAGTAGCAGGCTGAATTTCGTCCGCACTTCCATATTTATAGATAACCGTCATATAAGGTCAAAAACCACATAAGCAAGCCTACTAGGAATTACTGAACAACTCACACAGATTGCACAGTGCTAACTGGTGGGGTATAAGCCTTACCTTAGCCTCATAATACTCAGTGTTAAACTAAGAAAACTTCAGACACCCAACATGTCTTGGTTGGTTGACTACATTTGGGGTAACGGGAGGACGTGAATCTGATTTTATGCTGAACTGTATCATCAAGTTAACAATGAAGACTAAAAGCACCACAGTTCCTTACCCACAACCCTGATGTTTAGGTCAGCCTTGTCCTCTCCCGCCGGGTTGGTGACAGTGATGCAGTAAAGGCCTTCATCTCCCCTCTCTGCTCCCTCTATCACAAAGCTGCTCAGGTTCTTCCTGCTCTCCACCCGCACCCGTCCCTCAGTGCTAGTGAGTTCCTGCCCACATCACACGCGCACACACACACACAAAATGGGCATTTCAACACAGTTCAAACACTATATTACATTAACTTTTACAAATTGCAGAGGTATGACTGCCCACTTTTACCACTGGCCAACCCAAAATGACAGTTCAGATTTACTTTATGAGCAAATGCACGAGTGAATAAATCTTTTAAATAAAAAGCCAAAAAAGGAAGAAAAAGAAAACGCACTCATATCATATTAGAAATCCCATTTTTAACCATGACCAACCAAAATCCAGTTTAACCAATTACTATAACTATGAGGCATTTGCTAAGTGTCATTTCCTCCTTAGTCAGCACAACTCTAAAACAGAAGTGCCCAATTTTTAGTCTTGGACACCCGAAGTGCAATGTTTGTGGTGTGAGGAGGTTTCAAATCAAGCTTTTTAAATGTATTTTCTAAAAGTACACTATACTTTGTTACTGACATGCTTTAAAAACACACTTTTAAAAGGAAAATATAATTTGTTATGTATAGTTTAAAAATGTGTTCTCTTACTGTGTGGGAGGGGGGTGGGTTAAGGTAACTTTTTGGCAGGCCAAATCAAACACCCCCATAGGCCACACTTTAGGCAGCCAAGCTCTACAACATTCAGCTACAGTTTTTAGTGCTGAAATAAATCTCATGTTGTATATAAAGTACAAGTCATGCACAAGCACCAACACTGTCAGCATTTTAGAAGATAAATGTGGGAAAGACTGTTATGTGGATTTAAAGATTGGAAGCATATGAACAAGGCTTGTTTTATGCACAAAAGTAGCCCAGCACACTGTCTAACATTAGATAAATACAGTAACTAGTTATCCAAATCTGAACAGGGCAGAGCTGTTAACCAGCTCATTAACAGCAGAAGCATTCAGCAAGAAACTGACAGCTTATTAAAGTCGGTATTTGTTGTTCCTGTGTTTCAGTTTCTCTTCCTGCAGTTTTTCCCCTACTGTAGTGTAGTGTACGATGCTTAGCAATCACCTCAGTTATGGGTTATACTTCGTTTTTCTAACACATTCCCACCCCCTTCAACTGTGGGGGTGTGATTCAGTCCACCTGTAAATTCGTAATGCCCATCCAAAACAGCAGTTCTGGCACCACTACTGCCTTGTACACTGCTCATCAAAAGTTTGGGGATTGCAATAACTTGCAAAAACTGAAGAGGGTCAACTGACAAAAGCTCTACTTTGAGAATACCTTATTGTGATGCCAGCACTCTTCAGAAAATTCAGGTGTTTAAACCACTTTTGGGCTAAAAGAGTTTCAATATGTGCTTTTAACAACTGTCTGATAAGAAAAATGTTTTTAAAAAAAACTTGCTCTTCACACCAGTCACAAGTGCTGCAGCTAAATATACTAAAAAAAATCAGCACATAGCTGTTTTACAGGAACAATGGCTTTGCATGCATTTTGTTTTATTCACTGAAAAAGTAAGAGTGAAAATCAGATATTACTCAAAAAACAAGTCGAAGTCTCCACAAACTTCTGAAAGGCAGTGTACTGGTCTTAGGGCCAGAGTGGGCTGATAAAGTGCTTAGAGTAAGCGAAAGAAACGCAGTGAAATCCGTTAAGTTAGTGCAGGCTGTTCCTGCATAGTGGGTTCCTCACAATAGGCCCTTTCTTCCAACAGACAGTGGGCGCTGGCTCTCCTGTGATCTCCACATCCAGGCGCAGCTTATTGCCAGCAACCACAATAATGGTGTTTTTGTTGACCAAACTGCCAGTGGTGTCCAGGTGGATTTTAGGGGGGTCTAAGGAAGGAGAGGAAGATAGTGGGAGAAAACATCTTGATCATGTTATAGATAAATGTACTGTTACTGTCATGAGAACACATCTGAACACAATTTGAAAGAGCTGCCCAGTACACTGTGTGAGTATTTCATCATAAACGCACAGAATTTTCAACTTACAGATGTTTAAGTTTTTTTATGAGTTATAATAAACTGATAAAATAGGCATTAAATATATATACTTACCCTGACGAGGAACATAATCAATCTTGATTTCTGCAGGAAATCAAAAGAAATCAAGGACAGATACATTAATACCACATAAACTGTTAAACAGCTCTGTGTCTCTATTTAGCTCTTTGTGGGGCCTAAACGAACAATGGGACCAAAGGGGTTAATGAACATCTAGTGGTTGTGATCACATTAGTCTGCTTTTTCACCCTAAAACGTGGTTTGTCATTGCACACGCGCAGACTGAGAGATCCAAATTAAATCAGACTAAGAGTATACATGCACTAGACCTTACTCTAAACTAAGATATCAGAGTATGCTGTTTACATGACCAATTGAATAATCAGATAACTGCAGAAATTCAATTATTTTCGGATTATTAAGTGTATGTAAACTCATCGTTTTACAACAGTTCTGAGAGGTGGTTTTAAACTAGAGCCTATTTTGTGTCAGGGATGCCAACAAGTAAGATCATTGGGCCTCATTCTCCAATATCTTCCTGTGTTTTTTTTTATTATTATTTGTTCTTGAGAAAGGTCTTAAACCACTTAACTGTTCTTATTTGGGATTTAAGAACACGTCATGAATCTGGCATAGACTTTTTCTTAGGACTTTTCTCAAGAACAAATTTAAGAAAACACTTACGAAGATATTGATGAATGGTGCCCAATGTTCTTTTCTGGAACACTGTCTTCTCTATCATTGTCTGGATAGAGAAAAAACTGAAAACACCCATGGACCACTCTGCATCAGCCCAATGTCATATTAAACACTCTAAGCATAATATTGAAAACTGAGAAACATTCATATTATTCAAATATTCAACATTTTGAAAGTTGACATTTTCACATTTCTCTCATGTCATCTTGCAAACTGTGGGCTAGACAGCTGGCTAACAAGCTTAATCCACCTACCTACCTAGCCAAGCCAGCTACACTGACCAACACAATCGCCATACCTTTACTTAATATTATTGATCATTGTTATCAGAGCTGGTCCTGACCTCCCTGGAGCCCTAAGCAAAATTCTACCTGACCCCATGAGCCATGTAAACCATTTGCAACTGCCACACATTCACATTTGACACCCCAGTAGTGCTTCCACTACAATCCTCCCTCCTTTAAACCAGTCTGCTCCATCTGTCAGTCTAAGTAGATCTACACAGAACAGGATGATGTATAAACAAACAATATTTAAGATTACAGATAATACTATTACCACGGTCTTGTTTTAAATTGATGTGCTCCCATGAGGAGTGTGCCATCATGCCCATATACTGTCTGGACTAGACCAGAGGCCATTGCTGCGAGTTCCACTTTGTGTATACACACATGAACACGTGTTTTCGAGTGACGTGGTTATCTTTTCCGAGCTGCTATTTGTAAACACCATTGAACAGCTATATTTCGCTCTCACTTGTTCACTGACTTTAACCTTGGAGAAGAGAGAACACAAGTTTATCTGATAGCTGTTCCCATTGTGATTTTTTTTTTCGTGACCAGATGGATAGTTTCAGTTCAACCTCTCATCTCTGACACAAGGCAGGACCCTTGTGTAATATGCGGGGCCATACACATGTATATTGAGCGTATAAGGCTCTGATTGTTATTAAATATCATTTTGGTCTGCTAGACATAGGAGAATAAGCACAACTGACCTCACGTTCGGCAGGCGCCTCATACTTTTCATGTCCTAGCTCAGGAGAACGAAGAGATACATACTGAGGCCTTTCCTGCCGGCATTTCGCGAAGACCCGCCCTACTCTGCTTCTGACTGGCTAGTTCTTATTGCCTTAGGAGTGAGATGGTTAGGGTAAGAATATCAGGGTCTGAGCCAATCTTATCAGAGGAAGAATTGGTGTGGGTGGGAAAGATGTAGTCCAGCGAAGGTAAACAAGTCTTTCGGAACTTTTGCTGTTGTCAGTCATCTGACCGACTCTCCTTGGATCTGCACAAATTTCATAGGTAACCTATTTTGATCTCAAAACGTTGAATTTCGCCAAAAATTGTTGAGTTTGCATTTTTTGCAATGACCTAACAGGTTAAGAGTGAGATGGTTATGGTAAGAATATCAGGGTCTGAGCCAGTCCATCAGAAGCAGAGTAAGTGTGAGTCGTCGCAGAATACGGGTGGGGAAAAAACGCAGTCCAGAGAAGGTAAACAAGCCTTTCTGAAGTTCTGCTGTTGTCTCTCATCTGACAAACACTCATACAGAAGCAAAGGAAACACCCCACAAAGAGACAAATACACACTAGTGTGTGTGCGTGTGTGTGTGTGTGTGTGTGTGTGTGTGTGTGCACGCGAGTGTGTGTATGCAGTACCTAAGAAATTGAGCTTGGCAGAGAGGGAGAGGGCGTAGCCATCAGGGACGAAGGTGTAGTCTCCTGCATCCTCTGGTTTCACATCATCAATCAGCAGCTTGTGGACCCTGAATGACCGTGACCCAGTGTTACCAAGGCAACAGCAATCTACACAACCTCATGGTTACCTCTGAACGCAATCAAGCTAAAAGTGACAGTTTCCGTGGTGACAAAGATGATACTATAATTCGTTAACTGCAGTTTGAAGGCTGGGAGAAAATAACTATAAAAATATGACTAAGCCACTCACTTAGAAATAGAAGGTTAACAGGGAATGTTTTTTCTAATATAAAGATAATGATATTTGACATACACTGTTTCTTTATATTTGCTATGTAGCTTTGTATGGTATTAACTATAAGACAAAATACAGTACTTATCCTTATTTGCATTGCAACTGTTTATGCATATATACATAAACATGTAAGTAAATCACATAAAATGTACACAAAAATGGCATCTACATTAACCTCTGTCAAATACTGGAACATATAAGGCCATATATCAGATGTTCATATGGGTGATCATGAGTGAATGTGTCAATATCCTTGAGAGTTGATGCATTTACCTGCCGACGTGTGTCATTTTGATGCGCTTCCCAGGAATGACCTCCACTCCATCCTTGAACCACCTGCCAGTTACTTTTTCATCAGACACTTCGCACTTAAACATAGCCTGCTCGGCAGCCTTCACAGTCAGATCCGCTATACTTTGCAGCACCTCCAGTTCTTTATCTGAGGCACAAAGAGAAGAGTGTATCAGTTAGTTTGCATCAGTTCATATAAAGAAATGCTGCTCTTGCAGTAATGTTATTGTAGCATTTGTACCAAAAGTAATTAAAACAGTGTGATAAAAGAGGAAGACAGAGAGCTCAAAGAGAGAGAGAGAGAGAGAGAGAGAGAGAGAGAAAAACAGATAGAAAATGGATAGAAAAGAAATGATGACTGAATAATTGCAGTGAAAATAAAATATTGAAATACAAAAAAAAGTGGAAATCATGGATTAATAAGGTTTTGACATACAACCCTGGGTCCAAAAAAATGGGACACTATGCAACATGTAAATAAAAACAGAATGCAATGATGGGCAACAAAAGACTGGGCAAAGTTGTTCAATACTACAAAAAAACTATTTATGTAAACTGGCAATAGGTCAGTAACATGACTAAAAATAAAAAGAGCAACTTAGAGAGACTTCCAGAAGTAAAGATGGGGAGGGGTTCACCACTCTGTAAAAGACTACGCGGACAAGTAGTGCAATTCAAAAACAGTGTTTCTCAACGTAAAATAACAAGAAGAAAGATTCTGAGAATGTGGAGAAATCTCTGTATGCAAGAAACAAGGCCAGAAACCAGGCCATAAGAAGGACGATCCAGCTTGTTATCAGTGCACAGTTCAAAAGTAAGTATCTGTGATGATACAGGGGTGCATTAGTGCACATGGCATGGGTGACTTGCACATCTTTGAAGGCACCATTAATGCTAAATCATACATATATATGTTTTGGAGCAACATATGCTGCCATCCAGATGACATCTTTTGGGAAGGCCTTGCTTATTTCAGCAAGATAACAACAAACCATATTCTGCACGTATTACAGCAGCATTGCTCCGTATTAAAAGAGTCCAAGTGCTAAACTGGCCTGCCTGCAGTCCAGACCTGTAAACACTAAAACCATTTGACCCCGAACTGTTGAGCAGCCGAAATCCTATATCAAGCAAGAAAGGGAAACAGGTCACTTTCAAAACTACAACAGGTGGTTTCCTCAGTTCCCAAACGCTTACAGAGTGCTGTTATAAAAAGAGGGGAACCAACACAGTGGTAAACACGTCCCTGTCCTAACTTTTTTGAAACAAGTTGATGGCATCAAATTCAAAATGGGCATTTATTTTATAAAAAATAAATAAATAAAACCAATAAAATGTCTTAGTTTTAACATATATTGTCATTGTACTATTTTCAATTACATATAGGGCTTAAATTATCTGCACATCATTACATTTAGAATTTATTAACATTCTGCACATCGTCCCAACTTTTCTGAAAACAGGGTTGCATACAATGAAAAATTAAACTACAGTTCAGCACCTGTAGTGCTTCTACAAACAATGTGACATTATATTACAGACATTTCTCTTTCATTCCACGAGATTTTTACAAAGTACCTTCCACTTCCAGCTCTGCCTTCGACTGCCCACCACTGGTACAGACGCAAAACGTCCCAATATCCTCTTTACTGGCTTCATTGATGATCAACCAGTGTTTTTTTCCATCCTTCTTAAAGCGATACTTCCCATCCCGACTCAGCTCCACCCCGTCCTTCATCCTGCAGAGTGAGAACAACACAGGGATGCAAACCAGAACTAAAACGCAACAATTTATCATTTTCTGCAGTGGTTCAGACCAAGAAAACCAAACTCAAAGTATAAACAAGAATACAAGTATAATTGCAGCACTGGAAACCTCCCTGAACTGCACCTCTCTAGTCTTCCTTCTTTTACATACCTATTTTATACTCTGCTAGTCAAAAGTTTGGGGAAGCCTACTTAACACTTTTAATACAAATGAGCATAATTGCTCTCTCAGTTTTATATGAAAGCCTAAGCAAGCTTATTTAAAAGGATCACACGCATAAATATTTGTGCCAATATTAGTGTCAGGGCTACCTTGGGAATAAAGCCAAAGGTTGTGTATCTTATGTTATCCCTTTGTTGTGCCATCAGCACGTATCAGCACTCAAACCGTTGTTGTCAGACATAACTAAAAAGTGACTGTCAAAAAATCATATTTTAAAAGAAAAAGTCCCCTAACTAGCTTCTCTAGTTTCCAAACGCCCATGCTTTTCTGCTGTTCAAGTCAAAACAGTAGACAATCCAGATATTTTACTGTTGTTTGTAACTTCATTGCATTTGTAGCTCAGTTTCTTTGTTGATTTCATCTGCAGTCTCACCATATGACATTGGCTCCTTCCTCAGACACCTCCACCTCAAACTCCACTCTCTCCCCCACCACCACATGGATGTCATCCAGAAGCTTAGTGATTGTTACTGGAGGCTCTGCAGACAACACACACGCACACTCAGTACCAAAAACTCTTACTCATCCTGCAGGAGGCAGCGCACTCAAGAGAACGCATCATATAATCTTTATTAGCCTTCTTGCTTACTTAAAAGCTCCCAAGTGACGACAGATAGAGCTCACTCTCAATTAACAAACATTACTCACCGGTACTTTGAATTTGAGGCAAATGAGCATTGTTACAATAGTGGAACTCCAACTCTAATTTGCAAATGTAGTTAGTTAAAAGTTAATGTGCATGTGCTTAATGGCGTTTGTTTTTTTTAATGTGGTTTTGAATTCGTACCAAGTACGGTGTAACTGTCAAATTTCACTAGTATTCATACAGACTACCAAAATGTTATGTTAATGCAGCTCTAAACAGACCGTCATGATTCACCTTGAACAAAGACTTCAGTGAAACACTTTTCCTCTCCAATCACGCACTCATATGCAGCATCATCAGACAGTGTGCTTTTGTTGATGATGAGTTTGCGGATACCCCCTATGCTCTCAAACAAGTACCTGGAAAAACAGCACAAAATCAGAAAGACACATTCATACCCTCACCTGAGAGAAAACAATCAGATTTACAGGGCTTGATGTTAACGCTTGTCCTCTGGTCCAGGACAAGCGGAGGGTGAATTTACTTGTCTGAAGTAAATACATAAGGTAAAAAAATGACAAAAACAGGCTAACAATTTTTTTTTCACAAAACAAAAAGGAATGTGTTTTGAGAGGAGTGAACACTTTTAGAGCAATCATTTTAGCATATACCTTAAATTAGTAGATTCCTAGGTGAGTCGCCCACCGAGACGCATGCGAAGCAGTACATACACAAGCACATATGCTTACTTTGCTGAAGGTTTGATCTCTTGTCCATTCTTCAGCCATTTGACCTGCGCATTATGGTCTGCCATCTCCACAGACATCATAATCCTCTTGCCTTTCTCCACTGAATATGCAGGTTCCAGCTTCCGGATAAAGGCTGACATACAGAGAATACCACAGAAAGGCTGACAAATACCATACTATTAAAAGAGCCCATATTTATGTAAAAATCATGGACACCAACCTCTCTTTATCTCTTAGTTAAACAGACTATTTTTGTTACTGCACATTTGAAACTGAAATCGGTTTTCATTGGCCACTCTGTCTTACGACTTGTTCTAAAAGCAGAAAGAGCTGAAATATACAAACCAACTCTTAAGTTTAATTTGTAATCATCAGGTAAAAAATACATTTCAGCTACAAAGTACCTTTGTGTGTCTCTGTGAATGAAATGAGTAAAAATCAAAGGGGAAAAAAAGATACTTGTGGGCAACTGTGTTGTTTAACGTAGTGCTTCTCATGGTGTTAACTTTGGAAAATTGCAAATTAAAAAAAAATTACTACGATCAATCAACTACACATTTTACAGGATGATTTTTCCATAAAATCTCATGGCTCAATGACATCCGATTGTAATCATAAGCTAAAACAAAGTTGCAAGTCTCTTGCTGGCAGATGTGCCAAGAATCGTGCAGCTCTCTGAACCAAGCAGTTAACTTCCCAACCTTTTGTGTCTCAAACATTACATTATAACTAGCCTAAAGGCTGCATGTTGACATGTAGCTTCATTCAGAATGACTGAGCTGAGAAAGAGTTCAGCAAAATCATTGTTTGGTTTATTTATGGCCGATAATTCCACGTTTTCGGTTTTTGGTATCTGTCCTGTATAACACTACTAACTAGCGAAGCAGCTTGCGTTCACAAGATGTGGACTGCAGAACCAATATACCGGTGCTAAGAAACCCTCATCCGCACTGGCATATGAGGTACTAGAGTAATAAACAGAACTGATGTTGGGGTTTTGCTTGTGTGGGTGTCTGGGCCTAGATCTCACCATCACTCTTTTTGGGCTCCACCTTCTTCATCATCTTCAGCCTCTTCAGCATGCCCCTGAGGTCAGTAATGCCGTACTGGAAGGCGATCTTCTCGTAATCACATGGCTTGGCGTTCTTCAGGATCTCCCACACGTCCACCTCAGGCTCTGTGGGCTCCTCCTTCTTCCTCTCTCTGATGAACACACACACAAAAGGCCGGGTGACTTTTAATTGCTTTTTATAATCAGGGACAGGTAGAAACATGTTCAATTAACTCAGTTCCATGTACAATTTCAATGGATTTATACTCTTCTGAGTACTTTCAAAAGACAATCCATTTAGCTACTCAAGTACATTTCAGAAGAAAGGAATCTATTTTTTTTTGGTTCCACACTGGGTTTAGCATTTAGACTAAAAGGATCAACAAAGAGAAGAACAGAGCCTAACAAACTTCAGTTCCTATACTGATAAAATATTGGATGCGCAGAGGTTGTACCTTATACTTTTATTACCCACTCAGGCTGATGTTTTGTAGCCACTTCTACTAGCATCATTCTTTCATTGCAGAACAACACCTGAGGACAGTTTTAGGATCCTCTACCCACCACTTGTTCATAACAGACATCGGTATTAATCACTTTTCAGAAAACATGACCCAGACACTTCAAACGCAAGTAATAGCGGCAAGGAAAATCTCCCCACGATGGCATGAGAAAGCTTCAGAAACAGAATGAGTGCAAAGCCACTGAGCAGAGTAAGAAGTCTCTAACCTTTTTTTGAGGAGGCCACTGAAGTCGAGGTCACCAGCATCCTCCCCAGCATCTCCTCTGCAGGTAGAAGGAGGTGTTATAAGGATCTACAGTGAGACATTTGGATGGTAAAAATTAACCACACTGAACACACAGTAGTACGACGAAAGTGTGACGAAACACTGAACAAAGTTATGAAGGAACATGGCATAAACATGACCTACAAGCCAAACATTTGGAAGCAAGACTAACTTTGTCACAGTAAATAAAATGTATTTTTTATTTTTTTTTAAAGAAATATCATGCAGTAATATGTTTATTAAAACAAAACAAGATGCTTTAACTAAACATTTGGCATCCAATAAGTTGGGTTTCTGAGTTTTACTGTAGCTCTAATTAGATACACCTGATTGACCGCATACAGAAGCTCCTTAAGGTTCTTCAACTCAATTAAGTCATATTAGGAGTGTGGACAGTATTAAAATCTCATCAATGTATAGCCTTATCAACAGAGAGTGCAAAGAGGACTGAAAGATGCAAAGCCCGTACATTACTGGTAAAAGTAAACTGGTAATGTAGTAGGTAACAAACTTCTTCAGGTATACTAAGGCCCCCCTGCAACTACCACTTAGCCCTTAGCCCTCTGTTTTGCGCATCACATCAAGGGTTAGGTGTCACGATTTTTGTTGAGATATAGGGGTAGGGCGAAGTGTTAGGGCTACATGGCCCTTCAGATGGAGGTTTTTCAGAGACTCCAAATGAAGTGTTACAAAAAAAAGAAAACCAGCAAGAAGCTGCGCAAGCGACCAAAGAAACCCACAAATATATTTTCTCCGTAAAAAAATTACGATAACCACTGTGTTATCTTAGTTTAATGTTGTTTCAAGGTATTATGGTCATTTTCTTAATAACAAGCATTAAAAAAACAAAAAAAACCAAAAATCGCTAATAGCATGCTAATGTCTCAGTAGCTAGCTAGCTAACTTTCCCGTTCCACCTTAAATAGTCCAGCAGTTCTGACGCCTGAAGCGGCAGAATGTAACTGCTGCACCATTTAAGGTGGAACAGGAAAATTTGAACAAGAAGCTGGTGAACAGCTTCAGCTTCATATCACTGAAGAATTAGCGATGGGCGATAATAAATAACTGTCTAATACCCCCCTCTTTGAAAGCATGTGATGCCCTAAATGTAACTAAAGTCCAGCAGTGAGGCTGCTGAACTTTTCCCTTCTCTGCTATCACTGAAGACGGGCCGGGTCCCCTACAGAGCAGCGCTAGTAGCCTGTTATTGAAGCAATGTAACTCCGTTCCAAGGGGTTAGGGTTACACTCGAAAACAAGGGGTAGCGGTAAAGAGGAGAAATGGGATTGGGCCTAAATGTCAGTGTACATGCTGTCTCATTAAAGAAGGAAAAATAGTAATTCACACTGTTTTGAACTTCTGTTTTGAAATTCAATAATAACAGTAAATCCTCAAGACTTAGCTGTTGCTACTGAAACATCTCTGCGGATTCAGAGAGGGTCCAAGTGTGACTAAACTGAGCACTTCATGCTCTTCACACCTGAAATAACACGTAAACCACCGCAGGGACGTGCCGCTCCCCAAGCTCTTTCACACCAATGTGAACAAATTAGTGGAAGAAAAAAACAACTACACACGGCAAACGTCACCGTTTCTAAAAGATGATTCATGTATTATGTATGTATTTAAAAGATTAATGTATTACGTAATATCAACAGCCTATGGGATTCAAAAATCTATATAAATGTGGTGTGTTATGTGAAATTATGTTCTATTCATAATTCCATCATCATAAGCTAAAAACACAGTTTTAAGCTCTAATGTTTTATTCATCACAAAAACCGAAAATATTTCTCATCAATTTGCACATTATTACTTTATTTAATATTCTGATTACTGATTTCTATTTTGATTCAATTTACATTTTTTATTTTAGGTTCCATTTTAGTTTTAGTGGTCTATAATAACCAACTCCACTTGTTTTTTCTGATCCTACACTGGCTCCTACTTGGGTTGTTGTTTTAAATAAGTAACAGCAGTTTTAAATTAGCTTTCTTGTGGGCCTTACAGTGAAGAGCCAGACAGTGACACACAGCTAATGAGACAGACAGAGACGCATAGAGACCAAGACATTTATCACCAGATTATAATTAAGGAGGAACACACAGAAACTCACGATCGTTTGAACGCTTCCAGAATGTTTGTTTGCTGCACTTCTTCTACAGCTAAAGGATGAAATCAAGAAGATTCACTAAAGAAACAAGAAGCTGAATCTCAACACAAACTAATTAAAGGTATACTGTGGTGAAAAATGATTCACATAATTATCCCACGAGTAGTTGCTTCTAAAGTTTTTCACTGGAGCTTCAAGGCTTATGTAGCTAACAAGTAATGGAGCAAGTCTCAGGCATGTCATCAGGAAACTGCAAGTGGTGAGTACTCCCTGGGTGGGTAAGATGGCCCTCCTTCTTCCCCATCACTCAGTGCAAACCTAACCAACGTAAGCTTGGGGGGGATGTAACAGAACTGGCAGTTAATGTTCTCCTCTAAACATTGTGAGCTGTTGTGATAGTGGCAGTTTTAAAAGATACAGTGCTGCTTCACGTCTCTTGGAGGAAAGCATGTGCTAGCCTTTCTCCTCTCAGCTTAGAAGAATTGTGTTATTTGGGGAAACCTAGGCCTGCGGGAAGAACTGGCCATGACAAAACTGAGGTGAAAAAAATGGTTGGGTATAAGTTTTCACTGCTTGTAAGCTATATTAACCTCATAGCTTTACTGCAAAAATAAAGAAGCAAACTTCAGATACCAGACAGGTCTGGGCTGATCAACTACGCTTGGGCTAAAGGGGGTAAATTCATATATCTGAATTTCTGCTGAACCATTCCTTAAACTAGTATTTCCACAGATCATGTACGCACATCAAAGATGGCTTTACAGGACAGGAAGAAACCATGTTATATCATCTGTAGGCTTACAGAGCTTAACCGATTAAAATTCAGACTTTACAGACTTTCGGTATTCCAGTGTACCTTCAACAGTGATCTCGAAAGTGCAGCTGTCACACTTATCCTTGGCCGTGACCTCACAGCGGTAACCTCCTGCATCTCCATCAACCACCTTCACAATGGTCATCTCATAGGTGTATATCTGTGAGAGAGAGAGAGAGAAAGAGAGAGAGAGAGAGAGAGAGAGAGACACACTCTCTGTTAGGCTAAACCACACACATATCTGTGCTCATGCCTTTACACACACACACACACACACACACACACACACCTTTTAACTCTTTACTTGCACAGTTGTGTGTATTGCCTTGTACTGTTATTGATGGTGCAATATACCTACAGACGCAAACTGTGCTGAATGCAGTATATTGTGACCAGCAAGACAAACTCCTAATACAGCTTATATTAATTTATAAGATATTCAAATAGTCAAGTTTTTAAAAACTTCAAAAGTAAATTTGAATTTTTTTATATGTAAGTTAGCTTCTCTCTAACATTATACATGATCATATTTAAGAACCATGAGACATCTAAACTCCACCACAGGGCACAGCCTTAGTACATGGAAACCATTGCCGAAAAGTGCTTATAAACATCAGGCTCAAGTTTATTTTACACTCTACTTATAGAGACTTAATGGCATAAAACATTTAACATCATTTAGTGAACTTGTTACATTTGACATCATAACTTACTCTTCACAAACAGCTGTTTTTCATTTTAAATGTATGAAGTGAAATACGATGCGACTAGGCTTGTAAGCTGAGGTGAGGTGACAGACTTAGCTTTGTTCCTCAGTTTCAAGACTCATGTCACCTACTGTGGTCTGGGTTTAAAACAGTATAGTAGCACAATGCCAAGTGGATTCAGTGTATCTGGAGGTGCCTGGTGAACAGCACCTGTAGCCTTAAGAGGCCTATCCTTTTTTTTTTTATCCAAACAATGTCCCACAGATTCAAATATAAAATTTGTCTGGAATGCCCATCTGTAATTCTGATTGTGGTGTATTATCGCACATACTCAAACACACTTAAGAACACCTACCCACTTAACACAAACATACACACCTTGGTGTTCCTGTCATAGGTTTCTTTAAACTGCAGGTGTTTCCCAGCTTTGCTGCCCAAATCCATCCACTTTCCCTTCAGCCACTTCATGACCGGCTTCCTCAGCAGGGTCGACGAGTCCACTTTAGCCACAAAGGTTACGTTTTTCCCTGTTGCCAAAAGAAAGCGATTAGAAATACAGACAGCATTCAGGTGGATTATATTCCCTTGTACTGTCCTTGTATTTCTAACACTTCTTTGTCACACAGTAAACAACAATAACAATACAGGCATTTATAACAAATCACCTTTATTAGAACTTTATTAGACTTATTAGAAACTTTATTAAACTTATTAGAAACTTTAACTTTATTAGAAACCCCTGTCTTTTAACTCCACTTTGCTGGTGTAAAGTTATTGTAGCCCACCTGCTGATGCACAGTTTCTGTCAGCCATCCTCTAATCCTTCATCAGTGGTCAGTTTCTGTCCACAGAAACTGACCACTGTTGGACAGTGGCCCACTCTCAATCCAGTCGTGACACTGAAGTGTGTAAAAACTCCAGTAAAAATTGTGTGTCTGAAACATTTCTACCACCAACACACACAAATCATGTCAGTGCCTGCTGTGCCGAGAATCGACCACTGCCCAAAAATACCCCACCAACACCCCCATGGTTTTTCAGCAAATTATTTTTTCTAATACACATTTCATCTGCTGACCATTAAGCCCTTTATGAACTGAACCAGTTATGTTAGGGCTGGAAAACATACAGCAGATGATCTCTGACCTTTGACTGCCGTTGCACTCTGGGGTCTCTCCACAAAAAGGCCAGTAATTTGTGCCGGTTGAGGCTCCTCCCCTGGTACAGGCTCTGAAGGGCAGGAGCACAGAGGTCATGTGAGAGTCACATTAGCCAATTCCAAAGCATTAAAGTGACAAAACAGGCAAAATATGTTCATCCAAACATTGAAGAGACAGTGCTTTCCACCACGTTATAGAGCGTCCTTTATTAATGATTTTAAAATAAATAAATAAAAATGAGTCATATCCCAGATAACAGTATAGTGACATGATTTATGATTCATGTACACCATACGCCATCAGCTATACGAAGAGAAACTAAATATGACCACCAAGGGCCTGATGAATCTTGAAGATTCAAAAACTAAAAATGCTTAATGAAAAGGCAGACATTTTGTATGGAAATGAAAAACAAGCTCAAATAGGATCTGTATCGGTCTGCACAACTCAATGTCCTCAGGTATTATGCGAATATAGCCTTAAGCATTCAGCTTTTATCCTTTAAATTTCTCCCTTTCCGTATCCTCTGGTTGCGCCCTAGGATGTGAAAGACACTTGCACTCTTTTCCTAAAGAATACGATATTTGCCATGTATATGTCCTAGACAAATACATGCTAAGGGTTTTGTGTGTCTTACCATCCTCAGGCAACTCTGGATCAGAGAGAAAGAGAGAGAGAGTGAGGGAATACATTAGGATCTAATTAAGTTTGACAAAGATAGTAGAGCCTTCTGAACATCTGACCTACTAGAGTTACAAACACACACACACACACACACTTATTCTTCCTGTCCTATTAATATTTCAGAAACAAGACAAATGCACATCAGTAAATTATTTTTTAACTAATTGAGATGACTCAAAACTCAACACAAGGTATACAAATAGATCTTTTTGCCTTTCTTCATGGAGTAAGCATAGGCAAAAGGATCTCTATGTGATTCTACAATGGTTACCAGAATGTAATCATCAAGGTTTTGATGTTACTTCTTAGTTATGGGTTTGGGTTATGTTTGGTTGCAGTGGCTTTTCATGTAAAATTAATTTTGCATTCCCTCCACATGAGCTCAGGAGATGAATGCAGGCTGCTCAGTGGTGCATTAAAGCAATGATTCACTGAAAAGTAAAATTTGCACAATTTCCCCCTTACCCTGTATGTCGTCTATCAGCCAAGACATGTTCGCTTCTTTAGTTTTGTGCTGTAGCTTTGAGGCTAATTTAGCTACTAAGTAACGGAAGTCTATGTGACTCCAAATCTTCTTTGGGTCACATAAACTTCTATTACATCACAAGCTTGTTTCTGTGGCACAAAACATAAGAAGTAAATATCAGACACCAAGTCTTGGCTGACTTCTCGGTGAACCATTGCTGTAACCGACGGACCAATGATAAACGCCTGTTTGTATGAAATGCACACCCACTGGCTACATCAGCAATAGACAGCAGATGTCAGCTGATATCATGCACTTTCATAAAACCTCTTAACACTCCAGTGCTCTTGGCTTTATGGGCCAAGGTTAATGCAATTTGTCAACAAGAAGTCAATATGGATGGTGAAAACCTCTGCTGACCGTGCAAATCTTCTTGAACTGGCTGTAATCTGAGGTCAGGCGTCTCTTGCAACACAATCCAGAAACATGGCTAATAAACAAAATCTGGCTAATATTAGTGCTTTTTATAGTGTAAATCACTGGGAAAATCAGATGGACTACAAAACCTCCAAGATGTCATGGAAATTACTATTTCCTGCAATATATCTGTCAAACCTGAGACTTGAAGACTTGCCATTTGAAGAGTTACATAATGTGCATCATATGTACAGTACCAGTCAAAAGTTTGACATACACTCATCGAAGGGGGTTTCCTTCTTTTACCTCGCAACAGTAAAGACATCAAACATTTATGTAAAAGACATGTTAAACAAATCAGATCTTCTATGTAAGATTATTCAAAAGTAGACCCCTCTGTGTTGATGCTGCTTTGCACATTCTTGGCATTCACGAGCTTCATGTGGAGCCACCCGAGATGCTTTTCCAATAGGACTGAGGATGCATGCATGTTAAGACTTTCTTGCTTTAAAAGCTATTTGTTAGAAGCACACTTAAAAACTTAATTTTGCTTGGGAAATAAAATCCTACACAGGCATCACCTTCATTATTTTGCATCATGTTTGTCTTAGAAATACATTTCAAGCATTTCAGCACAAGATTTTAGATTAAGATAACAAAAAACTTCATATTCAATCAGGCGTTTCCAAATTTTTGACTGGTACTGTAGACCAATGGATCTCAGTCCTGAGGACAATAAAAACTGCATGTTCTAATCCTCACTGCACAGAAATGCAAAGGGCAGGATGTCCTCAGGACTGGGGTTGGGAATGTTTATAATATGTTAGCAAACAAACACTGACAAATCTACAAAATTATTCAAAACCACTGTTATCACATCCTCCCCTCTGTAATGCATCTCCAAAACACAATGCAGTCCACCATTAAAACTTTCATCAACTTCTAACATTATTCTAAATAACCACTGTGACTTTCTGTTGCCATAAACAATTATTTCTTTAACTCCTTAAACTCTAGGCTTGATATTCGCTTATTATTTTGAGAATTCTTATTTGCTAACCACTTCAAATGACTCAGTAACTACTATAAAACTAACATCTTAGTTCAGTGAAAGATATATAAAAGTTATATAAAAAGGTCGGCCTTCGCCAGAGCAATCCATGATTTCGTGAGATGTTTATTTGATGTTTCCGTCTCCATCTGGTCAGTCAGAACCGCTGGGATAGACATGCAGATCCACCTCCAGAGCCAGTGACTGACAGCTCAGAGTGACGAGCGCGCTCACACTCGTGAGCGGCCGTTCAGCATAAACATACCACACAAACGTACAGACATACGCAAACACACGGAACGAGGCATGTTGATCGTTTCTTTTCCTTACCATCGCGCCCCTCATCCTCCTCTGCATGAAAAGAAACAACAACAAGCGGACAGGTCAAGTTAATCAGCAGACAGGAAACGGTTAAATTACACAAAGGAGATTCTGACCTTCGACCTCTTCAGCTGGAAAGAAAAATTGTGCACGAAGCGCAACACGTTTGTGATGACATTCATGTACAGAGGATTTACAAATACCACACAGTACAAACACGGCAGGGTCACTGTGCACAATCTGTGCATCAAACCTACATATACACACTGCACACACACGGAAGCTTTCACATACAACACAGCCACACACACACACACACACAAACACAGAGAAACAAACACACACACACACACAGAGAAACAAACACACACACACACACACACACACACACACACACCACACACACACACACAAAACAGAAACAAACACACACACACACAGAGAAACAAACACACACACACACACACACACACACACACACCCCTTTCCCTTGAGCCTTTGCCACAGGTTAAAAGCCAGTTTACCACAGTTTACCGCAGGATATCTAATGTTTCCGACCAACTCACTGGACATGAAATTTCGGTATAAATGACAGATATGGGATTCACACATAGCCTTTACTCAAAAAAAAAAAGCAGAAAACATGTTAAAACAATTAATTTAGCCGTTATTTGGTTTTCCTAAACCATCTACCTCGTTGTCTTAAGTGTCCGTCACCATTAGCTTGGGAATTCATGGCAAACAGTCAACTTCACCAAACAAAATCAAAAAGCTTTTCTGTGATTTTTTACAGGTTGTGAGTTGTACACTTGAGTTAGGGCAGAACACAAACACCTCGAGCGCCGCCAAACTCCTTTATCACAGGACATAATAGGTCTTTTACCGACACGCTGATTCGCATATTCACACCGATATGGTGCATTCAGATGGGATTAAATAACTGAAAAACTCCAGTAAAAATTACACCACCTTCTCATGTAGAACTAATCCTGTCCGAATAGGGCTAAAGAGACCAAAACCAAGGTTACCATAAAGGGCCCATATCCTATATTTTTCTTCAAGGTCCACTTATGACATTTGTGTGGGTTTATGTACCAAAAAAGTTGTAATTTATTTTTCTACATTATCACTTACTAACTTCTCTTTATCCCTTAGAATTAAACAAGCTCTTTTTGATACTCTGCCTTTAAAACTATATGCCATGCACCTTTCCTCTGTGCCTTGAGGATGGCCACAAGAGGGGGCAGGAAGGAGGGGCCAAAATCCAGAGCATAGAAAAAACAACGCGAGGACAGTGGGGAGAGGATGAGATCTGCTAGGAAGTGGTGGATGGCGCTCAAGTTCCGAGCCCGCCTCCTGGGCACCGCCTTCAGTCCCGCAGTGAGGCCACTTTACTATGCTTCAGATTCAATTCCGGTGGCCAAGCCAAAGAGCTGCAAGGAGCAGAAGCGAGCGAAAGAATGACATGGCTGCTGTCACCCTCAACCCTGTCTCAAGCGTCGTTCCTGATCGCAGGGTAGCACAGGCTGTGGTACAGACCAATACGTGCTCTGTATTGTGCCTCATTAAAAAAAATCAATTCTGGCTCAAACACTTCTACTTCACTGTGAATAGGCAGAGCTAAAGTTTCTATAGACTGAACAGGTAGATTTATGCAAATGCATTGGTTTTCATGACATCATAGCAACAACGAAATTAAAAACCATAGTTTCCATATATGGATCTAATGGACTAGGGACTAAACGTTACTTTAACTTTAACCATGTTGACGCTACAAAAACCTCAAATTTTAATTTCAAACAAGTGAAATTTGTTTTTCTACAATATGGGCCCCCTAATAATATACACTCCTTAGTGATTTAATCAGTATAACAGAGCACAATAATCCACATATAAACCCCTACACACATGCATACACTTTACATCAACTAATTTTTACAAAAGATTTACATTTTAATAGCACTGTCACTGAAGATCAGACCCTTTACAGAACTTTACAGAAGCAAAAAAACTACTTTTAACGGAAGTCAATGGAATCAGACATTTTTCCAAGTCATTTTGTACCATTTCTTTTAGTCCATTCGTCAAGAAATTTACACAAAATGTAAAGGACAACAGGCATTTTCAAATTATGTCTAACACTGAAAAAGGACAAAAATGGACACATTTTGTTTTGACAGCAGCAATATATAAACACCTTTTCACAAAACACAGAAATTCACAAACATTCAACTTCTTCCACTCTCACAAATACATAGAGCACTTTGCAAAAAGGCAGTCTGAGGCAGTGATAAAAACTATCTATCTGGTCAGATGTTTTGTCAATGAAAACATTATATGACATTACTAAATACTAAATGAATAAATACAATTAAATAAACAAATACATAAATGAAGATACACAGTGGAGCTTAACAGGAATGTGCTGTTTTCAGAAAGTTTTTTTTGTTTCCATTTAATTTTATGAAGAACTGAACGGAAAAGCTAGGTATTGAACTTCCTCGAGGAGTGTTTTGGAAATGGTTAAACTAACACATTCATACATAGAACAATCACTATGGATAGCTTATTTGTATTTATTCTAATGCTAGAATACTTACTGCCTGGATAAACAGCTTTAAATAACCTTTTCTGAGACACCTCAGACTTTCGCATAGTACTGTACGTTACTTACAACTTACTCATTTCCTTAAATTATCTCAATTATCACACTCACTGCTCTTATATATCAGTTTCCACCAATTATACGAAAGTAAAAAGGAGAATCAAGAAACAGAAGATTAACTATGCGTGTGTTCAAAGTTATCAAAATATTGCACACTCTTAAAATGAATAACCTTTGAACAATGAAGTTATTTTAAATGTCATTATGTCTTTGCTTGAATTAAATGCATGGACAATCCAGCTACAGTTTCACTCTGACATAAAGAACCAAAGAAAAGAGAAACAGAGAAACAGAGAAGAGACCAAACAAAGTTCCTATTCAGCTGGATCAATTTCATGATTGAATGGCACATGCACTTACTCACCAGCAGGGGGAGCTGCCTCCGCTTTCTTAGGATCTAAAAAAGGTGAACAGATACAATATTGGTAAAGTGGTTGAGATGTTTTATAACCAAAAATAAAATGGAATAGAAAACTATGTTTACTGTATCTTATTTTACATCACTATAGATACACCAAACCCAGATCATCTAGACAATACAGAATATGTCTGAAACTGGCATTACTTGCAATGCAAGTGCATAACAAAATAATAAACAAAATTTGAGATTTCTCTCCAAGCAATAATGCAAGAGACCATGCTCTTAGACTGACCCTTGTAAATATACTGTTGAGGAATAAACAATAAACAGATTTCTCTCAGTGCAAACAGAATAGAAAATATGATTATTTAGGCATTACCAACAGTATTTTAGAGCCCAAGCTCCAGTGAAAAAAAGTCATTTGTATTTAACGCAAAAGAAAACACAAGAAAACACTTGATTTAGACATGGTAATGGCAGAAATAATGTACTTAAAATATAAATATATTTGAGTAAAATGTTAGAGAGCATAAAAAACATACAGCTTATGCTGTATCATATATGGTGCTTTAGCACTGTGGCCTGAAAGCATCTGTTGCTGTACTAAGAACTGACTTGCAGTTTTCCTGATTGGGCCTCATGTATTCTCAGTATGACTTTCTCCTAACTATCGCTTTAAAGTTCACTAATGAGTGTAGACCCCAGCTCCACCTAGTAGTAGGTGTAAATTGCCACCCCACGGAGAGAAAGACCCAGGCTAAAGACCCTCCCCATTTTCCTTAGCCCTCCATTCACCACTTAGCAACTGCTTTTCATCTCTTCATCAGCGTGTGTGGATATGATATGGTCAAAGGATGTGCCTGGGTGACTTCTGGAAGACACCCAATACCATGACAGAGTGGAGGACGCTGTTTTCTACAAATCTCCAAAGCCTTAAATAAACTTAAAAATAAAATGTCATCTTTAGATGTATCTGTGTGGTAAACCTGGGTAGCTTTCAGTGACACTTGTTTTCCTACATTTGCTAAAAGATCAGTCATTTCATTCTGTTACTTTCATAGCTGGTAACAGAGACAGTCTAACAGAATAATAATCAGTGTGACTCCACACGTGAGAGCAAAACGCTTTGTTGTTTAGGTTGTTCAACTGAGACAAATTTAGCAAGTTATGGCTTTATCAACATTACCTATGCAGCAAATTAACACTATTAAATAGATGAAGTAAGCAAACCCACCTCAAGACCAACATAGAAAGCTGATGGGGCTTCAGCATTGCACTGAGTGCAGTAGCATTTGGACAAATACATTTTTTGCCACTTATGTATCCATATAAGGTTGAATCCGGGGCTATTCAATTTTAAGGGGCTAACTAGCCAGCTATGTCAGTGGTTGCGTCCTACTGAAATCACTGTGCATTTTGGGATGCAGTATATCACAAAGATACCTCGGGCTGCATACTGGAATATTTGGCCAGAATAGTACACCTCCGGTTATCTTTGGTGTACTGGGGAAGTTCATGCTGGTCATCTACTGCATACTACCTACTACTTTTGGGCACAATTAGTACATGAGCAGTATGTAGTAGGCTATTTTAAACACAGCTCCAAACCCAGTGTCTCTGTGGGGATTTGAGACACTGCACTTGGCCTTGGCCTCTGGGGTCAGGTTGCTTGACCCTGAGGGTGCAGCCAGCAGTGGCATACTGAAGAGCCAACACCTCTATTTTGGAAAAGGTTTGCCTTTCAAAGTGTATTCTACTAACGGGATCTTAAGCACTGTTGGGTTTGGTTCTCCTGCAGCTCGAGGTCTTGTGGGAGTGGGGAGGGCTACAGTCCCAGCGAGGCGTGAATACTTTCCCCTCCTCCAAGCTTTTAGGACACTGGCACTGTTCCTCCACCCGTAAAAGGAGTTCAAACCGGGTAACTGGACTATACATACACAGATTTTCTGGGCAAACACAACCAGAATAATTTAAAGACAAAATATACATACTGCCACCTTGTACTTCCACTGACTGGACACACCCACCTAAACTATACAGATGTGCAATTACAGACTGTAGCCCATCTGTTGCTACGTAACCAGTCCCCCTCTGTTCCATTCATCATTGGTCAGGTGGTGTTACAAGGAATGGGTTCCTGATAAAGTGGGAAGACTATGTTGAGTGAAGCTGGTAATTCTTTAACCAAATGCACAAAATGATTGAAGGGATGGACAAGTGCAGTTCAGTTTAAGCACCCAGGTCATTTTTTAGTCTTATTCTCTCTCAAGCTACTAATTCAGATCAAGCACCAGGGAAACTGATCTAACCATCATATCCACTCATCACACACACACATGGACGAGAGCGTTAACCATCTAGAAGTTTCTCCACTTCTTATGTGTAGACAGATCTAGTTCCCTCAAAACATCTTGACTTACAAAAGCCAGTTCAGCACAATGAGAACCCCAGGAGACGTGTCTAAATTGGACTGACACTATAAGGCTGCAGACAATGTGACTGGACTGGATTTTGCCTGACCATAAACTCCAGGCTCCTACTACTGCGATATCTCTGGTTACAAGGCGTCAGCACTCTCTTGATCAAGCAACTCATGGCCCGTCTCACATACACCCTCTCTTTTGCCACTGCACTTACACACACACACACACACACACACTATTTACACACCACATTCAGTAATAAATCAAAAAAAAGGAGGCCTTCAAGCCTCTGAGCTGTTGCTAATTAGGTTAATAATAATAACATAGCTATTTATACAGCATTTCAAGGCAGTTATCTCCATCAATTTGTTCTTAAAAGCAGCTTTTTTTTAAAACATATGAGTTACTCATTCCACAGCTATACCAGACTACGCTTCCTGTAGCCTTACAGCCAGTTCAAAGTGTTGAGAATGACATTAATGTGTATCTAACCCTACTCGCCCAGAGTCTCTGAACTCTTTCCTTCATATTCCCTTCTATATGAAAATAATTAATGAGAGTGAGAGTGAGAGACTGAGAGAGCCAGACAGTGAGCAAGAGAGAGAGAGAGAGAGACCATGGTAAGTGTTTTTATCTCAGCCATTTGGAATCATGAGGTGAACGGGTCAGACATCTGGGGTTTTTTTCATCAATATCACTTCAGAAAAGTGCAAACGAGCCCCCGGCTCCCTCAGCTTAACGCCTGCCTGCTCCTAAAACAGTGTGTTCCCCTCTATAATTATCCTTTCACATGAGCTTAGTTTCCACTAGCTTTTCAAAATTTAGTTTTTGTGCTCCCACTTTCAAAGTTTAAAGCAAGACTAGGGGCAGTGCAGGTCCACTCTTTACTGCCCAGCCCTCAATCACCATTCTCTGTGATAAAAAATTGAATAAACGTGGGCTGAAGTTCATTCAAAGTGTAAATACACCACTGATTCATGGATGAGTGGGATACACCCGTTTCCATGGTTATGCTACACCTAGTGGGATACATCTGTTTCCAATGCTACACCCATTTTCATGTTTCTAATATACCTATTATCATGGTTACTCTTCACCCATTTCGATGAAGAACCATACTATTACTGGCTGAATGCTATCTGTCATTCTATTTTCAGATCTTTCTATAAATAGGCCTACAATATGTCATTTTCTCCATATCCTTTTTAGACCCAAACGTGGAGGTTAACGGCGCGTCTTGGTCTTAATATCCATTACTACACTAAAGATGTTACCCTTTCTGATCACCTAACTAGACTGCAATTTTAATGCTCAGAATTAAAAAAAGAAGGTTTTTTAAGAAATAAAGTTACATCCCAATTTCATAGGAGCTTCTGAAAGCATCGGAAGGCTCCACTCAACATCCGACTGTCGATTTAGCCTGAGGCCTTCCTTTAGTTTCTTCAGTTTTGCTGACAAAGCTCTCTCTAACCTCTTAGGAATGTTCATCTCTTGTTAATCTCCTGTGACATTTATTCCTCTGCCCTCCCCAGTGCTCTCTGGTTAAAGTAGCCTAGTTTCACTCACTTGGACACTTTAAAGCTTCTACCAATCGTCTCCAGTTTCAGCTCTCCCTAAAACACATGGACGTTCATCATTCTTCCCAATCAATGGCCAAACCAGCAATTTTATCTTAACACCTCTTTTATTCAGAAGCAAAGCTCAGAAATGATATTTACATAACACTTTTTGACATTCTCTTTATAGACATCGCACTTAAGCTTTTGAAAAACTAAAGAGACTGTTCATCAATAGTTTGGTTACACCCAGCTTTTCAAAATACTCACATCAGTTTTTAATAACCTAACATTAAAGAGAAAGCTATTAAGTATTATGCTACTTGTGTCACTGATCTCTGCAAAAACTGTTAAACTAACATATGGATCAGATAATAAGCAAATATTGCTGTTGTTCATTGTAGAATTTTTAGGTAAAGTATTTCTTTAATTTGCATATTCCTTAAACAATGTCTCTTCCTGCCATCAAAAATATGGGAACGCCTAGTTTTTCAAAACCACCTTTTAGGCCAAAAGAGTTTAGTATGTGCTTTGGTTTGGACAAGAAAACTGACAAATCATTATTTAGGCAAAACCTGCTCTTCTCATCTTTCATGATAACTAAACTTTTTCAGGTAATTTTTCTTACTTGATTGAAAAGTGAGAAACTTCAACTTTAAAGAAGGCAAGGCACCCCTACACTTATGACAGGCAGTGTAACTGGAAAAAATGCTTTATCACGTCCGGCCATCTAGGCTGGATGTGTTAACTGGTGAAGGGGGTCTCTGGGGTGTCTGGCTGTATATTACTTAATGTGTCTGCCTGCACCAGCACATGTGAATGCTGACAGGTGCCCGCCGCATGCCGTCATGTGTGTGAGCTGGTGGCCTGCACGGACCTGCCCTACACAGCATCACACACACATACTCATGTACACACACATCTGACAGGGTGTTTAAAGGCTGATAACACTAATGAGGTTCTCCTTTGTTACAATGCTCAGATTTTAATTCTAAATAATAAAGACTCATGTTTTTTTATATATACATACATATATATATATATATATACATATATA